AGTCAAGGGAAACAAAAGCAAAAATAAACTTATTGGGATTTTATCAAGATAAAAAAACTTTTGCACCGTGAAGGAAACAATCAGCAAAACTAAAAGGCAGTGCCTACGGAATGGGAGAAGATATATGCAAATGACATACCAGATAAAGGGTTAGTATCCAAAGTCTATAAAGAACTTATCAAACTCAAATAATCCAGTGAAGAAATGGGCAAAATACAACAGACACTTTTTGAAAGAAGACATCCAGATGGCTCGCAGACACATGAAAAAATGCTCAACAACACTCATCAGGGAAATAAAAATCGAAACAACAATGAGATACCACTTCATACCTGTCAGAATGGCTACAATGAACAACTCAGGCAACAACAGATGTTGGCAAGGATGTGGAGAAAGAGGATTCCTTTTGCATACCTGGTAGGAATGCAAACTGGTGTAACCACTCTGGAAAAGAGTATGGAGGCTCCTCAAAAAATTAAAAATAGAATTACTCTACGACCCAGCAGTTGCACTACTAGGTATTTATCTAAAGGATACACCCCAATGTTTATAGCAGTGTTATCAACAAAACTCCAAAATATAGACTAAGCCCAAATGTTCATTGACGAATGAATGAATAAAGAAGTATATATATATATATATATACATACACTTGGCAATGAAACAGAATGAAACCTTGCCATTTGCAATAACACCGATGGAACTAGAGTGTATTATGTTAAGTGAAACAAGTCCATCAGAGAAAGACAAATATATGATTTCAATCATATGTGGAATTTAAGATACAAAACAGATAAACATAAGGGAAGGGAGCAAAAATAATATAAAAACAGAGAGGGAAACAAATTGTAAAAGACTCTTAAATACAGAGAATGAACCAAGGGTTGCTAGCAGGGTACTGGGGGTGAGGGGCTACAAAGGTGAGGGGCATTAAGGAGGACACCTGTTGAGATGAGCACTGGGTGTTATATGTAAGTGATGAATCACTAAATTCTATTCCTGGAAAAAAAAATTCGGTTACTTCTGCTATCTTTAAAACACGACAAAACCTAGGGACACCCAAGGAGCTCAGGCAGTTAAGCATATGACTTAGGTTCAGGTCATGATCTCACAGTTCCTGAGTCCAGTCCTGCATCAGGCTCTCTACTGTCAGCATGGAACCCATTTTGGATCCTCTGTTCCTTCTCTTTCTGTCCCTCCCCAACTTGTGTGTGCTCTTTCTCTCAAAAATAAATATCAAAAAAATTTTTAAACAATAAAACATAAATTTCCTCTCTTTACATTCCTACCCAGGGTCTGCCTCAATACTCATTCCCTTTCTTTTGCAGATAAATTCCTCATAAGCACTGTCTATACTCACTCCCTCTAAATATTCCTTGGCCATCCTTTTTTTTTCTTTTAATCAGGCTTTTGTTCTTAACACTCTACACACTATTTTTTTTTTTTTTTTTTTTGGCAGGATCATGGACTTCCTTGTTCCTAAAGCGAAGAGTTAATTCTCAGTCTTCATTTAATGGTTGAATCCTTCTTCCTTCTTGAAAATTAGCTTCCAGGACATGAAACTTTTCCTTCTCTCTTTCTCTCTTTCTCTCCTTCTCTCCTTCTGTCCTCTGCTTCTTTCCTTCTTTCCCCTATTCTGGTTGCTTCTTTCTTGTCTTCACCATCTGTAAACCCTGGAGCAGTCAAGAGGACAGTCTCTGAACTTCACATCTTCTCTTTATCTCATTCCCTTTGTTAACTCATCCAGTCTCCCAGGTTTAAATACCATTTGTTAGCTGTCAACTCCCATATTTTGTCTCCAGCTCAAACTTTTCCACTAAATTCTCAGCTTACATACAACTTAAGATCTCTCCTTTGATGTCTAATAGATATCTCAAACTTAACATTTCCAAAATTGATCTCATTTCCCCCCTAAACTTGCTCCTCCCACAGTAATGCCCTCAGAATCAAGAGCATGGAAAAACAGTCCATTTTCCCAGGTGAGACCAAAAGCTTAATAGGCATCTCTGACTCCATTCCATATCCAATCTATCAGTAAATCCCACTGGGTCTGCTTTTACAAGATCCAGAATATGACTACTTCCCACTCCACTGCTACTCTGGTTCAAGTCACAATTACTCCCTGCCTAAATTATTAGGAGAGCCTTCTGTCTCTAACTTTTGCCTGTGCCCTCTTAAGTCTCTGCAGTGTAGCAGCCAGAGTGAGGCTGCTAAATACAACAAAGCATATGACTACTCTTTCCAAAACCTTCCATGGCATTCAATCTCACTCAGAGTAAAAGCCAGGGTCCTGAAATTATCTATAAGGTGCTACAAGACTGGGTATACTGTTACTTTTCTAACTTCATTTATTAATTTCCCTCTGATTTTATTCCAATCATACTGGCTTCCTTGCTATTCATTAAACCTATGAGTTTATGTTCCTGCCTCAGGGCTTTGGTACTCACTCTCCAGAAATACCCCTCCACTACTTCTCTGCATCCGCAGCTCCTTCTTCTGCCTTTATTCCAAGTCATTACCTCAGCAATGCCTTTTCATTACACTATTTAAAACTGCATAACTCTCCCCAACGCTCCCTATTTCCTCTTCCCTGTTTTATTTTCTGTGGCCATTAACATACTACATAGTTATCTGTCTGGTTTACTGTCTTTCTCCCACCTACTCTCCCAGTCCAGAAAGTAAACTCCATGAATACAGAGGTCCTCCACAGATATTTACTAAAAGAATGAATGAAGGAAGAGGGCATCCATCTAATAGGTATCCCCCATACATTTTGAGGACCTCTACTATACTAATAATTGAGAAATATTCATCTGGATCTGAAAATACTTTAGATTCATTTGTTGACACTATTTACTTTAAAAGTTTTTTTTTCACTTTCCTTTCTTTTTTTTTAACATAGTTGTTGTATATTTATTTGATTTCACTTTACATTTTCATAGTATGGAATTATCTTTTACATTTAATTGATATGTACCACTATAAGAATGATTTTAGTTTAAGTGTTTGGTTGATACATTTGTGTTAAGGGTATGACTCACAGGATACTTATGCCGAATTACTGGATCAGGACAAAGCCATAAAAAGCATTAGACCTAGGGTGCCTGGATGGCTGAGCTGGTTAAGGGTCCGACTTTGGCTCAGGTCATGATCTAACGGTTCATGGGTTTGAGCTCTGTGTTGGGCTCTGTACTAAAAGCTCGTAGCCTAGAGCCTGCTTTGGATTCGGTATCTCCCTCTCTCTGTTGCTCCCTGGCCTGTGCTCTGTCTTAAGTCTCTCTCTCAAAAATAAAAATAAACATTAAAAAAAAATCATTAGAACTTCATTCTAATTCTCTGAAAGTCTCAAAGGTTTTGAAAAATAAGTCATTACCTGTTTATTTGCAACTCAATTTGTTTTTATAAACACTTTAATTCTATATCATTTTTTGAAAAAATGATAAAATAGACTCATAAAGAGGTATGGGCATTATTTAAGAATTGCAAAGGTAACATAACATTGGAAAGTCTGTTAAAAAATCTCATTTATTACTCCTAGAAGTTGTCAGTTTATATTCTACATTTCTTCAAATAGTCTCTGGTCTCTACCCATTTTTATGTTCTTTCCTCATAGTTCTAATATTTTCATAGCTTTTAAGGTAAAACAGAAAAGATGATTCCAAAGAAATATTTATGCTCACATACTGGCCTAAAAGTAACTTAATGGCTATAGTTACCACATGTAAAGTATGCTTCACCCACCAGAATGCAATAGGTCTATTGTTTGCAGTTTGTAGCCATATAACCTAAGCAATTTATCTAATCTTTCTAGACCTTAGACTCCCTATCTATTAAATGGGTAGATTTACCTGACAGGGATGTCTACCTGACAGGGTTGTTGTGATGCTTAAACTTTTAATGATTATAAACAATGGTACAATACCAGGTAGACAAGTAAATACTTGGTAAGTGATAAGTGATAAACGATAGATATTGGTGTAATCAGGAAAAAAAAAAAAAAGAGAGACAGATACTGGTATTCTAGTTAGGGCTCTTTTAGATGCAAATAACAAAAGCTAATTCAAGCTGGATTTCATGTACTCAATATATATTTACTGAGCACTTAGTATGTGCCAGGTACTAGGCAAAGAAATGGTAAGGGAAAAGGGGAAATTCAGAAAAAAAAAAAAAAAGGGAAAATTCAGATGTGGGGTGGCACTAATATTCAAAGGCAGATATGCAGCTGAACTTCATTCATAAAGAAATGAAATATATGACTAGAAACTTCCAGGAAACTTAGTAAATATTCTGTCTCACTATCTATTTTGTTTTGCAGACTGGTTTCCTTTTTCTTCTTAGTAGATAGCTCTTCCTGCAGCAAAGCTTAGATAGTAGATTGAAGATAACTAGCCACAATCATATGTTATTGTTCCAGCTATACTGAAAGACTGACTGCTACTGTTATATCTCACTTTGATCTCTTACCTTAATTCCAAAGTCCTGATAGGAATCAAGTGTTCATCCTTGTCTTTACAGGGTATGAGCTAACAGGGTCATGTTAAGCTGAGCAAATATTCCAGATGGTAACAGCAAGTATTATTCACAGTTTATAAAAGAGTAAACCAAGACTGAGAAGAATGAATTTACTTTCCCAAGTTCATACGGGTATTCCATGCCAGAAACAATATTTGAACTCTGGGGGATGTGCAACTGCACAGTCAGCACATGAAAGTGAGTGCCTCTTTCAATCTTCTATTGTAGGAGCTTCGCTTGGCTCACCCTAGTACCAATTCAGCTAATGTTTAAAAGATCCTTTCACTGTACATGTGTTTCCTTACTAAATAAACTGTGACACCTTCACAACGTTCAAAGAAATGCAATATCTTAAAAAAATTTCATGGATTCAGATTACTAAAGGTTTTGTAAAAAAAAAAAAAATAAACATCTAGTTATATCTGCTTCTGTTAATTTTGTATAAACAATTTGCCTTCCAGAAGATACTACTAAAAACACAAACTTACCTTCCCATTCGGTTGGGATATCCCCTACTTCATAGTCCACTTCTCTTTTATTTGCTGTTTCTACAATTCTTTTCTCTCGAATAGTTTGTCCTACAAAACAAAAGTGATTATCTTATTTTTATTTTTTATTTTTTTATGTCTTTATTTTATTTTGAGAGAGAGAGAGAAAGAGAGAGACAGAGACAAAGTGGGGGAGAGAGAGACAGAGATAGAGAGTAAGTGGGGGAGGGGCAGAGAGAGAGGGAGACACAGAATCTAAACAGCCTTTCTCTCTCTTTTTTTTTAAACAGCCTTTCTCTCTCTCTCTCTCTTTTTTTTTTTTTTAATTTATTTCTAGGAGAGAGAGAGAGACAGCGTGAGCAGGGGAGGGTCAGAGAGAGAGGGAGTCACAGACTGAAACAGGCTCCAGGCTCTGAGCTGGCAGTCAGCACAGAGCCCGACGCGGGGCTCAAACCCACGAGCCGCGAGATCATGACCTAAGCGAAAGTCGGATGCTTAACCGACTAAGCCACCCAGGCGCCCCGGAGACACAGAATCTAAAGCAGGCTCCAGGCTCCAAGATAACAGCATAGCGCCCGAAACGCATAAACCGTGAGATCATGACCTGAGCCAAAGTCAAACGCTTAACAGACTGAGCCACCCAGGCGCCCCTCTTATTTTTAAATGAAGTCATGACACAGCAGTTACTACAACTAATATTTTTTCTTTGGATATTGCACACATCCTCATACGGTAAAAGAACTATCAGGACAAAGAATAGATTGCATTTATAGTTAGTTATGTTAGAAAAAACAAATTCTAAACTTACTACAATTTTAAATTTCCTTCCATAGTATGCAAAATTAAATTTGGTAGAAGAAATCTAAATTCTTAAAAAAAAAAAAAAAAGAACCAATTAATCTAAGGGCACAAATGGAAAAAAAAATACACACAAAAAAAACATTTTGGTAATCAACAGTGTTCAACTCCTTTAAATTCTACAAGTATTTGTATTAGAGGTGCCAGTGGCTGCTGTGACTGCACAAGGGAACCACTACTCACACCCCCATTAAGTGTGTAACGAACCACAAGATCCTGCTGCCACCCTACCCCCACAGTACACTGGCAAACCCAAGGGAACCAACTCATGGGTTCAATTCTATGACCTGTGTAAGTGACTACCTCTTAATGGATCTAAATGAAGAAGGCAAAAACTCGGGAATTACGAGTGTGAGTTCATACTGGTGCAGGATGGTAGCAACGGAGAAACATGAAAGCAAATGGAGCATTAAAGAAAAAGGTGTAGAATAATCAGGGATGGGATGAGAATGCAATAGGCTTACTTTTCTCAATAATAAAAATTGATTAGCATGTGTTTTAAGTTCATATAAAAGATATATAACTATTTGGTATTTTCTTCTGTTCCCACAGTCTCAATTATATCCTTCAAAGCAGCTTTGTCAAACTGGTGGTTTCAAAACATGTTCCCTTCTCATTGAGCCTTTGAGTCTAGGGAAACCAGGTGAACTTGGTACTTCCCAAAAGTTAGGGAGTGTGCCTGCCTACTCAGGGAATGCAAGCTGAAACAGAGAAAACAATGTTGACTAACTATGAGGGGAGGAGCATGGCTTTACAATGATCACATTAGTCAGGGAGAGAGATCTGGGCTTTACAAAATACTATTTTGTCTTCCCACTCCAGGACCAACCTTAAACTATGCTAAATAGAGTAACATAATTAAACAAAATGACTTTATTGTAAATCTCTTCCTGAAATTCTACCAATTAAAAATTCCTTTAATTGCAGACCAAGTAAATTCCTGGGGGTAACTATGCAGGAGAATGGAAGACACAAAAGGATAGCCTGAGAAGAATGAAGGACTAGTGCTACTTCCTTTGCCTTCCTGATAATAAGTGAAAGGCTGAGATTTCATGCACAAGCCATCAATGGGCAATAACTCTGAAGTATGGGGTTAGGGAAATTCTGCCTTTCATTATGGACTACTGAATCAAGCTGATTTAACCCTAACACAGAGGTTTCCCAAGTTTTATAAAGAGGAGTAACCATTTGCTTACCTTCTCCAATAAATTATCAGTAGGTCATGTTAGGAGTAAAGTCCCTAGATTGTAGGGACAAGAGTCAGAGTAAAAGGAGCCTGTAACAATGACAGCTGCATTACTCTCATAGTAGAGGCTCAAAATATGTATATCTTTAATAAAATGCTATTTATATCTACATACATAAACATGTAATAACAAAAGTTATCATAAATTTAGCACAAACTAAAGTATGTTTACATGACAATTTTAAAAATGTTTGGGAGAATCAAAATACCTGTGCTTTCATATAGCTCTTATCTGAATATGAAGATATAACTTGTTAGTTAGCACTAACAAGTACAGAAATGAAAAATGTCATCTAAAACACAAAATGCTAAGAAATGGTCATCTGAAAGTAAGTGTGTGTTCTATAAGCTTTTATATGTACATCAAAAAATTTAGCACAGAGAAGAGAATAAAGACATTTACCAGTCTTAGTAGCACCACGAAAGGCATATATAATACAAGTATATTTCAATGTCTGTGATATAAAAATTAACATCCTATCTCTTATCTCTTAGGTCCATCAGCTTAAGTTCTCCCAAGATTTTTAAGAACCATAAATCATACATACTTATGTATAAATTAAAAGAAAGAGTAACACATGAGTTAGTTTAGCTAATTCCTTGATAACTGCTGAGAAAATCTTGTTTATAAATAGAAGACATCAAAGATGTATAAAAAAAATTAGACCTACAAAATAAGGCCAATAGTTTATTGAATAAATTTTTTGTAATCAGATATAAGTTTCTCCCCTGACATAAATTGTTTTAAAACCACTCCATTCTTTGTAATAAGTCCTAATTACATAATTTCTAAGAACTGGGAATGAAGGTTTTTCCTCTCACTAAGAAATTATGCACAAATTGTACATTACTCATACTAATATGCTTTAATACAACAGTTGTAAAGACAATCTTACTTATCACAGCAAAAAATGTCCACCCTTACAAACAGATCAAATTTAAGTACCTGGTCGGTGTAAAAAAAATTAGGATCTAATTTACATTTAAAAATTAATTTGATAACAAAAACATTAATCTAAAATATGTACTGGCTTAATAAATCCTAATGCAACAATAAACAATTGACACTGGTGCTCAATGAGTGTTATTATGTAAAACAAAGCATAGCTTTAATTATTTTTTAATTAATAGTAAAACAACAGATTCAATTAAAACAATCAAAACAAAAGTTTGAACCCAAGTAGATCATAATGGTCATTGGTATATGGACTTAAGACAGAACAAGTAACAATATCATTTTACAAACTTAAAAAATTATAAAACTAGCTGCCAACGACTTAAAGAAAATTGCCCTAGGACAGATTTCCTGTTCCTTTGTTTAGAAAAATATAAAACCTATTTGGTTAAAATAAAAAGAAAAGAAGAAACGGAAGATTCCCCAAACATCAGGTAGATGACAAGTTTAGGTAAAGGACAGACTTCATCTGTTGGGCTTCCAGAATAGGGATGGGAAATTCCCTGGACACAAATAGAGCAAGAAGGATCTATCGAGAGCAGAGAGCCATAAATGTCAGTCTTCCAATTTTCATTCGATCCAATTTTGCATTTTCTGTCACACCGATAGTATTAAATTCTTAACATTTGTCCTTAATTTGACTTATTTTTTCTTTCAATATTCACTTTTACTCATAAAAATACTCATAAAATCAATGATTTAATAAAGGCTCTTTCTATAAGTAGAACTCAATATAGTTGAGTCCTGAACTATAGTTGAGTCATCAACACCTCAGTGTAGTCAAAATGTTAACTAACTCCTAATGTTAACTATATTGGAATTAAAATAAAACAAATTGGGGCACCTGCGTGGCTCGCTCGGTTATGCATGTGACTCTTAATTTAGGCTCAGGTCATGATCTCATAGTCGCAAGACTGAGCTGCATGATGGGCTCCATGCCCATGGAGATTTCTCTCTCTCTTCCCCTGCCCCCTGCCCCCTCGCTTGTGTTCCAAATAAGTAAATAAAATAAAATAAAATAAAAACTAAAAAAAGAGAAAATCTACCTAAAACTTTTGGCTCAACTACTAACAGCTTAACTACTAACAGCTTACTGTAAAAATTTAACTACTAATAAATAGCCTACTGTTGACCATAGCCTTATTGATAACCCAGTCAATTAACACATTTTATATTGTCTATGTATTCTATACTGTATTCCTACAATAAAGTAAACCCAAAAAGAAAATATTATGAAAATCATAAAGAAAAATACATTTATAATACTGTATTTATTGAAAAAAATCAAACCCATGTAGTTCAAATGTCAACACTAGTTGTGTTTTTTGTTAAAACATACATAAAATATATACATACATTAAAATTTTAATGGGTCATCTTTGTATCACCTAAAATCATCTTGAAGATCATGCCTGGGAAACCACAATGTTTGTCTACAAAGACAAGCCCAGCAACATATATGATAATACAGGCACAGGAATCAACATAATCAATAAGAAATTCCTATGGATGGGAAATGGCTGATAAATACCAAGTCTTGCCTGGAGAAACTTCATGCATTTTCCTAGTTCTACTTGCAGAAAGAGCCTAGAAGTAAAGACCTTAAGAGCAGTTAGCAATGGTCTTGGTCTCTATGCCATTATCCACCAAAAGAAATCAGAATTTCTCAGAGAAATGGCTGATTTCAGGCCGAGAGCTGAGTAGGTAAGATGAGCCTGCACCTTGCTAGGCCAGAAAGTAAGAGAGTAAGTAAGTAAATACACACATACGTACATTTATACATACATACATAAAATAGGAGCCTTTCTTAAGAGCCATTTTATAGGGGCTGGTACTTGCCAAAACTGGGATAAATCTGAGCACCAAAATAATGAAGGAATCATAGGGGTGCTTGGGTGGCTCAACTGTTTGAGCTCTGACTCTTGATACTGGCTTGGATAGCAGTCTTGAGGCCAAGGGATCAAGCCACATGCCAGGCTCCATGCTGGATGTGGAGCCTGCCTGGGATTCTCTCTCTCTCTCTCTCTCTCT